TTGGTGTTCTGGTGGAGATGCATGCAGCAGCCAAGCAGTCGCTGGTTCGTGGTTTTTACAGTTTCTTGCTACGATAAATGGTGTCATTTTGGTCATTTTCAAAAAAGATAGCATGACTTTCAAACCCATTTCTAGAAGGTTAAAACAGGTTGTATATGTTTAGTTCAGTGGTTAGCACCATTACCTCGCAGCAAGAAGATCCCTGGTTCGTGTCCCAGTGAGGACACCCGGGATCTTTCTGCGTGGAGTCTCCATGTTCTCCCCGTGCAGCGTGGGTTCTCTCCGGGTTCTCCGGCTTCCTCCCACACAGTCCAGAAACATGTTGAGGTTAATTGGTGATTGTAAATTGTCCGTAGGTGTGAATGTGAGTGTGCTTGGTTGTCTGTCTCTAAGTGTAGCCCTGTGATAGACTGGTGACCTGTCCAGGGTGTCTTCTGCCTTCACCCTGAGTCAGCTGGGATAGACTCCAGCCCCCCGCGACCCTAGTGAGGATTCAGCGGTGTATAGATAATGGATGGATGGATGTTTAGTTCACATGTTTCATCGCTAACCTCTGGCAGTCGCGTCACTAAACATCGATGGCTCCGTCTCCGCTGTAATGAGGCTGATGTCGTTCTCGAGCCACCGTATCCATCTTTCTCTATTTTGTGCCTCCTCGTCTCCTCCATCCTCCTGCCCGCGACCCAGAAACTGACCTCTAACCGACATTTTATTTACATTCTGCATTTGCAAACAAAATGAAAAAGTTAATTATTGTCATTTTGGCTCGGAGGAGTGAAAGTTAATTAAAGTCAAGTCATTGTTTGTTGTAGTCTCATGTTGGATGGTCAAGTTTGACCACACGAAGGAGAAAACACTGGTATGTTTTAATTTATAAATGTATTTTAGGCTTGCTTCCTCGTTATTTACAGGTTTTTACGGTCTGCCGTCCCAGGATCTATTGCTGCTGTCTGTTGCCAAGGCTACAACTGAACGGGGAAAGAAAGCGTTTAAATTGGCTGCTCCCTCTACCTGGAACATTTCACAAAAAGATTTGAAACTGCAAGAGCTGGTTTCTTTAAACACCTTTAAAGTGTTTATAAATGACTTGGAGGCAAAAAAAATCAGTCTGTGGATGTTTTGAAAGCTAATTATTTTTGCTAGTTATGTTTCTGATCTCTGCTGGTATGTTCGTTTCTTATCTTGTAATCTCACCGTGTGTTATGAGTAATGATGTCTGTGCGGCTGCTGCGGTGACCTCGTCCGTCTGTCATTTGTGCTGCTGCCTGTCTTGGCCAGGACACCCTTAAAAAAGAGATTTTTTTAATCTCAATGAGCCTTCTCCTGGTTAAATAAAGATTAAATAAAAAAATAAAAAAGTCCTGACTGAAGGTTGAAAAGTAAAGGAAACGATGATTCTTGTTTGTATTATTGCACAAACTTTACTGGAAATACGTTTTGGTCGCCTGGCTGAGCCTGAGGGCTCAAATTTCCATCCATTATCTATACACCGCTTTATCCTCACTAGGGTCATGGGGGGCTGGAGTCTGTCCCAGCTGACTCAGGGTGAAGGCAGGTTCACCTGGACAGGTCACCAGTCTATCACAGGGCCACACTTAGAGACAGACAACCAAGCACACTCACATTCACACCTACAGACAATTTAGAATCACCAATTAACCTCAACATGTGGACTGTGTGGGAGGAAGCAGGAGAACCCGGAGAGAACCCACGCTGCACGGGGAGAACATGCAAACTCCACACAGAAAGATTCCGGTGCTCCCACCGGGACGCGAACCGGCGACCTTCTTGCTGCGAGGCAACAGTGCTAACCAACTGCGCCACCCTGCAGCGGGCCCAAATGTAATTCCAGTAAAGTTTTGTTACCAGTAATAGGAAAGTGTGAAGGAGTTCTTTCTTGTTTTTTCTGTAGATATTTCCTCCTATGCACATCTGTCTACAAGGTGTACAGATGTGCATGAAACAAAAAACAACTTGGTTTAGAGGAAGCCCACCTCTGCTCTGATCATTCACCCCAACAGTCAGTGGTGGAGTTGCATTGTTAGTCTTTATGTTCTCTACAGCGTGACTTCAACATGTTATAAGAGTGCAATGCTGGTTAACTGCAAACAAAGTGGCACCTTGTCGTTAGTTCTTACGCTTCACGAGCAACTCTGAGACGCATCTTCAGTGATGTATCCAGGGATCATTGGGTTTTTCAGCTCTCGCAACAGTCAGGGTTGATCAGGCCCCCGACTTGTGTCTGAGTAGCTTATGTTGTCCACGGATCACCCCGCTTGATCCACAGCCATGTTGACGCCTTTTCAGCAGCGTCTGTGATGTTTCTGATGGCCTTCCTGGCGTGCAGTCCCTTCATCCGAAGCATCTTGAGCGCCCTGATGAGAGACTAGCAGACAAATCCTCTGCACCCCACCTCGATGGGGTTGCACCGGGTCCTCCACCCTTTGCTTCGGCATTCGCCTGCCAGCTCCTCATACTTGGCCCTCTTCCTCTGGAAGGCCTCCTCCATTCGGTCTTCTTTAAATAAAGCCAGAAAACCTGCAAGGTGTAGGTGATGTACAAAATTAGACCAGTAAGACACACAAAACCATGATTAAAGTGGTGTTTTACCTGTTCAAGTTTCCTCCAAAGATGATTTTGTTTTCTTTCTCAATTCTTAGTTGTTGTTGTTTTTTTTAAAGGATTATGAAATGGAATAATGAAGTGAAATGGACCAGAACCTACCACCTGTTTTACAAAACCCAACATAAATTAGATTTCTGTGTCCAATTTGCATGTTGTTTTTTTTTGCATCTTTTTTAACTTCAGAATATTCTCCATGTTTCTAAATTGTCTGTAGGTGTGAATGTGAGTGTGCTTGGTTGTCTGTCTCTAAGTGTAGCCCTGTGATAGACTGGTGACCTGTCCAGGTGAACCTGCCTTCACAGTAAGGGAATAGGCTACAGCTCCCTCACGACCCTCGTGAGGATTAAGCGGTGTGTGGATAATGGATGGATGGATTTTCTCCACGTTTTGTTTTTGGTCGACTTCTAACAACCTAGTAGCTATTTTACTGGTTTGGTCTCTGGTCTCCGCTACCTCCTGAGAAGCATGCTGGACTCTGTAGCTGCAAACCACAGCACTAGATGTAATGTAAAACCTAAATTATGCACTAAAAGATGCTCGGAGGCGCTGCGGAGTCGGCGATGGTTCTCCGTGGGATCCCTTTCACATTACATGCTGCTACTTTAATGACTTTTACTCTCAGATGAAAGGGGGAGAAAGAAAAAAAGCTTAAATGTTCTTTAAATGTGCAGATTACGTCCATCGCTGACGTTTGAGTGCAACGCTTGAGCCAGAGATGGATCCTCTTTTAGTGCCTCAGCTTGATCGGTCTGCTTGATTAATGAGGTTTTGTTTCAGAGGACTTTGATGTGAACAGAACGGCTCTTCATTAATTAATAAGTCATAGTCGTGCTAATTGGTAATTTTTTTATCTGGGCGGCCGCTGAGGGTCTGTATCCTCATTACACTCGCTCCTCTGTCTGCAAGACGTTTAGTGGGAACGAGGGTTTGAAGCCAGAAGAAGGCTTTTTGTCTCGGCTCCCGTGGGCAGAGCCGAGTTATCACGAAGTGCTTTCATGTCTTTTTTTTTTTACTGCACAGTGATGTGAAGCTGCGAGAAGAGCTTCTGCTGCCGTTCCTCTGATAGGCGAAGATGTTGTGGGCGAGTCCGTGAAGAGCTTCTGCTGCTTTGTTCGTATTAAACTGCTGCCTTTTGGAGGGAAAGTGCTGCTTTGCTTTGATGTGATATTGGTGTTATTGTCTTAAAAGGCCACTGGGTTGCAGACTGCTCGGTCTGCGCTGATGCAAACTTGAGGGACGTTCCAAAAAAATGTCACGAAAAGACTAATTTCCATTTACTTGTTTGGTTTTGTGTGTTTTGTGTCCGTGCACTTTTATTTTCTGCTAAAACTGTTGCTTTATGCAGAATTGATGTGTTTCTGTTCAGTATTCTTTCATTTTTTTCCCCATTAACAGCTTACATATAATATAATTAAATCTTCTTGTGAATAAAAGACTTTTTAGACCTGCTGTCCTGTAATTATATTTAGCAAACACATTATTTTGTGTCGTTTAATTATCAAAGTGCACCACTTTTTAAAAAGAAAAATCATATTTATTTGAATTGAAATAACACTTTTTTCCAATGCATGCCATATTTACATTACAGGTCCGACGTTTTCATTTCTTAAATCACTTATTGTATAAGAACAGCAGCGCTTGGGGAGCTTAGATTTATCTTCACATCGCTTAATGAAAAAGGAATAAAAGAAAATTAGATGAAGAGAGGCACTTGTATCTAATTACAGGTGGGTCCATTTAGCTCAGATCTGATAAAACTTATCAGAGTGGTTCTACGTTTAATCATTTCCTTGTGATTTTTTTTTGTACCTGCTGCCAATAATACAGTCATTTCTTGTCATTAATATTCAGATTTTGTAACTATATATATATATAAATACATAGTTTTGCATTTATAAGAAACCAAATATATTATTTAAATGTTCATGGGCCTGTTAGAAATAAGTTCTAATAACCTGGAAGCCCCAGAAGGTTTGAAAGTGTTGCTTGAAATACACCAACCCAGCAGCTCAGGTACATGTCTGCTGTCATGTTATTAAAACGTGTTGTTAAGGGTTTGGCTTTGCTCAGTCTCCTCTGGCTGTTGAACCGTCCAAAGTTCGAGCTGCAGACGCGCCCTGAGCTCACTAATTAATCGTTTACATCTTGTTTGTTTAACCAGTGTGCAAAGAAATATTTAAAAAAAAAAAGATTATTTAAAGACACCTGGAAATTCCCACTTTGTCTCTTGCAGAAGTTGCACCACATAAGGACACAAACTGGTGTTTTTACTTCTCTGTTTAAAGCAGTGAATTAAAAATCAGAACAAGACATGATGAGCTGTTGAGGTTTTCTGTGTGTTTGAATTTAATTTCTTTCTTTCTGTGTTTCTGCAGGAAAGTGAAATCGCTCCCGACTGCAACCATGTGAGTATTTTACCATGAAGTGACCACAGACATGTTTTTTTAATGTATTTCTTTATCAGATAAATCAAATACAGCGGGGAGTTTTCAGAGTTGGTCACTGTGTCAGAATCTAAATATTTACCAGGTGGAAAGTAACGGGTCACAGTCCGACATTTGAGGTTTGACAGTAACTTTAGTGTCTCTGCAGCTCATGAACCGTGATCCACAGAGTCGGGTCCACCTCAGAGCTGAAGAACATTCAAAACAACATCAGCTGTAATTAGTTTTAAATGATAATTAGCAGATATTTACACACTCCGATTTCAGCAAAATATCTTATTGCAGTTTGATTTGCGACATAAAGTCAAGCTTATTTCAATATTCACTGTGTAATAGATTTGTTTTTTTAAAAAGAACAAGGAATTGGTAAAATAATTGACGCAACTGTTTAAATTATTGATCAGACACGCTGCACAACATATTCTAATTTGGAGCATTTGCGATTTTGTGATTGTATTATTTGAAATAATAAGAGTAAACTTTATTTCTGCTACACGTTAGCACGCTAGCATGCTTTTTTTTTTTCTTTCTCTTTTATTTTTAAAAATAAATCATTCCAAAAACAATGTTGTATCCCAATATTCACAGATTTCACAGAAACAAAGTAGTAAAGAAAAAAATTACACATAGCAAAGAACAAGAAAAAAACACAAGACGTCCAACTAGACTTAATAAATAGAAAGACGGCGAATAAAACAAAAAGTGCAAATTATGACGGCTTCAAGTGCATAAAAGAAGCATAAGAAAACAAACAAACAGCACACAGAAATACAGAATACAAAGAACGAAGGAAAACTAATCAAACTAACTCTGACTTGGACACTGAGTTCCTCATAGAGCCCACAGAGGTTGATTTCTTCCCCTCAGCAGCTCTACAGACCGATCAAGTGTCGTAATTAAGGTGAAAGAGGTTTAATCGTGTGCAATATTTCATTATCATGTAGCATAATTGCCCGTCTTTACTGTTCTATTTGGGCCTTATTTTAGCTCACTTAGTTTCTTATCTTTTTGCTTCTCTGCTTTCCAGGCACAGAATGATCTTTTATGTCATTTAGTTTTTCCTGAACAATGTCTGGCACAAGAATCGCAGCCTGATTTTAATATCATGAAGTGCGTTTTATGGAGGAAAATGGTGTTGGATATTAAATATGTGATATTAAAGTTGAAATCATGATAAACAGCCGTTTAAAAAAAAGTCCAACGGTGTTTTCAGGTTGAATATTTAGACCTCTACGGTGTCTCAAAGATGTGCTGAAAGTCTGAAACTAAAAAAAAAGAAAACAAACTTCCTTCCAAACGTTACTGATCAAAATGCCTTTTGTGACAAAGCGGTTGCAAAACTGGACTTTTCTGGAGGATAAACTGGAGTTTTGAGGTGAAAAAGGTTCTCAAAGGAACATACAAGGAGCTTCTGTGTTGACTGTGTGTCGTGTGTTCATGGGTCGGATCAGAGGAGGTAACTGAGGACGTTTGATTGTCGTGTTTGAAGGCCGGCTGTATTATTACTTTAACACAGAATCACATGCGTGGGGTCTTCGGAAACATTGAAATCTCGGCTAGAATTTAAAATACGAATCAAAGAGAGCTCGCTGTCAGCTGGACAATCCTCAGATCCTCTCCTTCCTCTTTAATTAATGTCCTCTCACCTGTTTGCATTTTAAACAGCAGCTTTGAAGAACCGTCAGAGCTCAAGACCTTCACTACATTTACATTATGATGCATGGTTTTTTTTTATATATATATCCCCTACTTTGTCTTCATTTTTCCTCTTAAATGTGAGTGACTCAGTGTCCCCTCAGGGATCGATAAAGTTTTCTGAATCACCTCCGTCTAACATCCAGTCAGAGGTTTTCTCTTCATGAGCTCAGCGTCTCCTGGACGATAAACCCTCAGAGTTCAGCTCTTCTGGCAGCAGACGGCTTTATGAAACGCCACGAGGCTAATGGACCGCTCGGACTGTCTTTATTACAGCGCTGGAAAGCTCCGGCTGCAATTATCACGTCACACTGACTTGTTTTGTGTCGTTCTGTGGGCGTCCTGACTGTCAGCGGCTGTTATCTGAGGCCGGCTGCTGCAGCTGGCAGCAACACAATAAACACACAAACAAAAGACGACGCGGAGACAGAAGAGAATCTGGAGACAAAGGAGACATTTGGAGACGTAATTAAAGAAATCTGAAATGACTGGTGGTTGCTGCGAGCCAATCTGCGCGGTAGATATTCTGAAAGAGGTTTTCACTTCCACAAAACTGTACGTCCGATTGTATGAGCGGTTTACATGTGAAACAGGCTGCTTAGCAACCAAACTATGGTCTGTATCATACAAGTGCAGCTCACAAACGATTAGCAGCGTATCATCGACATATATGTTGATTTTATGAGTCTTTCTGCTGTTTTTTAAATTAATAAAAGTGTCCTTTCACCTCACTTCTATGTCAACTACAACATCACGTTCACATTGAAGGCCAGTTAATTAATTATTACCTTCATTTCATCCTGTGAGCCCCGAGATTGTTTAATTCCACTGCCTTTACTTTGAAGCTCTTATCTTCTAAAGTCTAGTCGCACACGTTGTTATATTCAGAACAGTCTGGGCTGTCCACATCTTCCATCATTAGATATCATAAGTTTGCAGATTCTATATTGTAGCCTTTATATGTCGTGTTTTTTCACTGTAAAATGCTGTCAGTAGAGAATTCTAATTGTGTAAAGAAGATTGTATTGAATCTGGCAATACCAGAACCGTCACGGTGGGAAAATGTGCTGAATAAATGTCATTATTTTATTCACTAAACTGTAAACATGTAGTGGAATAACTGCAGAGGAGGCAAACCGTGAAAGGAGGCAGCGAAAATAATGAGAAAAGCTTCGGTTCTGCTCGTTCTTGTGATACGACGTGAACGTATCTGTACAATGACGAGCTGATGAGTAAGAAGCAAAGCTGCAGATCCCAGCTTTGAATGAAGGCGACATAAATTCTAAATTAGTTTATACTCACTGACACAGACGAGCAGCTAGCTTTGTTGGAAAGATCAAGATGTGAAGTTGAATTTAATAGATATAATGTTCAACACATTGCAATAAATGCTATAAAAGCAATTCAAGTGAGAAGAAGAGACGTGAATTTGGATGTAAAGTTGGGCTCTATGGGTTAACCAAATAAAAAAACTCATTAAAAAAATATATATCTGTAAAAAAAAAAAAAAAAAAAAGTAGTCGTGTAAGTAAGTAATTTATGTTCCTCCATTTAATAATGCAGGTGTCCTCTGTGATTTAAGCCATTAATCATGGTTCGATCATGTTTACATAAGAAGCTACAGTCGTCCTCAAATGTATTCATAGCCTCCCATTAAAGAAGGAAAAAAACACTGAAATAAGCTGAAACTGACTAAAGTAATAATAAATAAAAATGAAAATCATGACATTGGTTTGAATTGTGGTTCAACAGAAATATATTTTTTTAAAACAAAATAACAAGCATGATGGGACCCGTAAACTAATATTTAGTTGAACAACCCTTTGAGCCAATCACTGCCATCATCAGGTGTTTTCTGTAACTCTCAGTCAGACTTCTGCTCCTGTTGACAGGTATTCTGACTCACTGCTCATCAGCAAAGTGCTCTTAATTTGTCCGGAACAGTTTTTTGTTTTTTTTAAATTATTTTTTTCACCCACAATTCAAAAGCAATATCTTATTTCACTTAATTATAATTTAACAAATTTTTATTTATTATTACTTTTTTCAGTTTCTAGTTATTTGAGGGACTATTGTGAATTTTGCCTTTTCTTTAATGGAAGGGGATGAATACATTTGAGGACGACTGTATGTGGTATCAGAGGTCAAATAGTAACTCAAGGGTTTTTCCTGCACGGAGAAATTTTTGGCACCTCACTAAAAGGTTTTATTTACTGCCAAAGAACTGAGAATTAAATAAATATGTTGTTTTTTTAACCAGTTTTGGCTCATTGTGGTTACATTTACTTAAGCATATTAGCTAGTTTGTTTGTCAAATAGTCAGAGGTAGCAGAAAAAGGGCACAGATTTTTGGTCAAAGAAGGTAACGCAGACGCATTGCCTTCACCGATCATATTTAGTTTTGTGCGTAATTACCCCACAAAGGCCCGTTCTGAGCAGAGAACATCTCTAAAGAAGGGCAGAAATAGGCCCAGAACAGCAGAAGTGGTTAAAAAGTCGAGTCGAAATCGAGTCAGCAGAGGCCACCGTAGAGTCTGTGATACGGATGAAGCTGCAAAAGTTTAGTAATCTCTCATTTCCGTCCTTTCATTCATTCCCACCCTCAGTTGGTCGCCCAGGTTTTCTTTTAAAATATTCAACTTCCCTCGACGATGATTGGATTTTGCTTCAGGCGACATTTTCAGCAGCGGTTGATAAGAAAAAACATTCTAAGTTCTGCCTCATTGAGCATTAAAGGCATCAGCCACTATTGTCAGAGTGTAGACGTGTGAAAACAAGTGTGAGAAGCAGGTAATAGAACTTGTTCTTACACTTCCAGACACGAGATGATGTTCTTTTCATCCTTTGCACAGTAAAATAACAAAACCACCAACTCTCCTTCACTCTGGTTCCTCTCAGGTTTTTTGCTTTAAATTTATTCTGAATGAGTCTCATTTGTGATGAATATATAACCTGGAGGTGTCTGCTGTGTATATGTGTGAAATTTTAATGCCTTTCTTTCCTCCTTCAGCTTCTCTGGAACTACAAATTCAACCTGACCACAGATCCCAAGTTTGAATCTGTGGCGACGGAAGTCTGCAAGAGCACCATCGCTGAGGTTGGTTCACCTCCGTCTGTCTGGGGGGAGAAGCTTCCTGCACTCTGATTCGTCCTCTGACGTGTCACATGTTCTCTCACCTGCAGATTAAGGAGTGCAACGAGGAGGAGAGGGGGCGGGGCTACCTGGTGTCCTGCCTGGTGGATCACCGCGGCAACATCAGCGAGTACCAGTGCAACCAGTACATCACCAAGATGACCAGCATCATCTTCAGCAACTACCGGCTCATCTGCGGCTTCATGGACAAGTGCAAAGACGACATCAACACGCGGCGGTGTGGCAGCATCAACGTCGGACACAAGGTGGGTGTTGGTTCACTGGAGCAATTCAAATAAAATCCAAGTTAATTTATTTAATTAGATGATGACAGAAAATTAGCAAAAAATGTTGATGCAAGATCCACTTACTTGGTTTTGTAGATTTTTGTCTTCAAC